ATATCTCTGTCTCTCTTCTAGCTGCAACCGTCTTTCTCACTAATTATAATACAGACAAAATCCCAGTTAAATGATCTGCCTTCACAGACAAATGTATAAGCATAGTTTCTCCCCACATGGCTATTTCATCTGGAATAATAGAAACATATACAAGCGCAAATCTCTTTTTTTAATGATTGGTTTGAAAACAAAATGAATCTAGTTAGTCAGTTAAATAATAAATAAGGTGTACTCTTTTCTTACAATGAATTCCTCTCTTATTACAAAATCTCAATTACCCAACAAGAGTTTTCACCTGTTACTAGTTCAATTCCTTCAGTCCATGTGTTATTTAGAGGTTTTAGTCATGTTCATGCTTTTGATATCACTAAATCATATGTGGGTAAAACCTGTTTTAATATATACACCAAGAGTAATAATAAGGCTATACATACCCTTTTCCAAAGAGAACTTATTACTGTACCTTATATTCAATCTTATCGGATGTCTTTATTAAAGGATCAACTGATTTGCTGGGAAAAGTGTGGCTGTTACCACAGAAATACCATGCTAGAAATAAAATTAAAGGAAAATCTTACAAACTTCTCCACAGATTTTATCCAGCAAAACATTATCTATAAAAATGTAAAGTGGGATTGATGTAAATTGTGTTTTTGTCATGAATATGAGGAGACTGCGGTACACTTATTTCATACTCAGTCAACTGATGGAGTGAGGTGCAAGAGTTAATTAATAACAAATGACAGTGTTATAAAGCTCTATCATTGTGGGAAAATCTACTGTTTGGCATTTCCATGAACCCTATTCAAGAGGAGAATTGTTTTTATTTAATTAATTTAATTATTTTGCTAACAAAATTCTACGTTCATAAATTTACCAATAAGAAACCCAACTTTAATGTGTTGATGACTGAACACATGTATTTGATTATTACATATGTATATTTGTCTTTGATTTATGTTTACCCCCTGGCATGTTTAGTTTTGTACTGTTTAAATGTTATAATAAAAAAACATCTTTCTCGCGAGACTTCAGCGGCAGGAGCCCGGATGTGCGTGATTCTGCAGAAAGCTGCTTCCTGAGGCGGATCAGAGCCAGCATGAGCTGTCGGTAACGGCTGTGATCGCTAATGGAGTCGAACCCGAGTTGCGCTTCTCCCCAAGGGGAGGAGCTGGAGGACGGAGAAATCTTCGACGATGAGCCGCAGCAGCAGAACGCGAGACCCCCGCGGCGGCCCCGGCCCTGCCGCCCCTACCGGAGAGCGCGTCTGCCGGGGCCGGTGATAGGCAGCGCCGCGGGGCCGCCGAGGCCTCCGCACCCGCACCCGGCCTTCCCCTGCGAGCTCCGGCAGGCCTTCGAGTCCGCGCCGCGCTCCGGCTTCTGGGAGCGCAGTCACGCAGCGCTCACGGGCCGCTTCAGGTACCGCGCTCAGCGGCCGCAGGACTGGCCGCCCCGGGACTGGCAGCAGCGCTTCCCGGAGAACCACCGGACAGACTCCCCCGGCAGGAAACCGCGTATCCTTTACATACAGCCAGCTGTAGATCTGTAGATCATCAGTACAGTAGCTCAGTGTGTGCAGCAGCAGTGTATGACGGGGGTTCACACTCACACAGGCAGAGCTTCTCCCTAAACATCCCGTGAAGACTCAGATAATCAGTGTAGATGTCGGTCTGCTGGATCTCCGTCATCCAGAGTCTTCACATTCACACGTACAAGATGTAAACCTCATGTAAACATCTGAAGTTTGCAGTTTAGTCACTTCCGCCTAAACAGGCCTCGATGTTTGCTCACGTCACCTCGTACTTCAGCTTCTCATCAGATCTCCTGGCCAATCAGATGCTCTAGAGCAGGACTCACCAATCTCGATCCTGGAGGGCCGGTGTCCCTGCAGGGTTTAGCTCCAACTTGCCTCAACACACCTGCCTGGATGTTTCAAGTATACCTAGTAAGAGCTTGATTATCTTGTTCAGGTGTGTTTGATTAGGGTTGGAGCTAAACTCTGCAGGACACCGGCCCTCCAGGAACAAGTTTGGTGACCCCTGCTCTAGAGCCTGACCCAGCCCTGGGCCGGTGTGAGACTGGCAGCATGATAACCCCGATATGATGTAAATATCACGCTGTTGTGCTCACTGCTCATTCTCTACGCAATATATTTTAATCTGAGAAACATCTGACATGTTGTGGAGCAGTGAACATGTCCGGCTGAATAATGGAGATCAGTCATTATCTTCTGCTGTCTTCATTAGTCTGTCAATCTCAGATCAGTTTAGTTTAAAGCAGCATCTGTGTGTGTATTCAGCTGGACATGCTGCTGTCCTGAAAACAACAGAGTAAATAAACAGATCTTACACACGTCTCAGCGTCTGTATAGCAGACGGTTTTAACCCGTGTGCTCCTCCTCAGTCTCAGTGAAGTTTCTCAGGTGTCTGTGATCTCTCAGTGGAGTTCAGTCTCACGCTTCAGCTGGAAGACTCTCAGTCTGCTGCTGTACACACACGTTAATAAATCAGGGGTTCTCAAATTGTGGTGTGTGTAGCACTAGTGCTGCGCAGGTTTACTTCTAAAAAAAAATGAATACAATTTGAATCATTTGATGCGTTCAATTACACCGATGTGATCAGCACTAGCTGTTCTCTGAAGCCTACGATCAACGTGCTGTGCTTAGAATGTTTACTTCAGTGCATCTCGTCATATAGCGTCAGATATAGCGTCAGATATAGCGTCAGATATAGCGTCAGATATTGCGTCAGATATAGCGTCAGATATAGCGTCATCAGCTGCGAAAAATCAAACCAAATGAGGCAGAACTAGAGATAGAGGTGTGTGGTGCTTGCAGAGCAGACATGCGCTAGAGCAGTGCTCCCCAACCCTCGGGCCACAGATCAATCAGTACCGGGCCGCACAAAAAATTATTGATCTTTTCCATTTTATTTATTATCCGAGTCTGAACAATCTTTTATTTGGATAAATGACCGTATTCTCTTGATACATCTCGATCACTTGAGCATCTAAATGTAACCCACAGGCTAGTAAAATGAGTAGGAACTGCAGCACGCCGCGCTCGCGTCTTCCAGGCGCACCCAGATGAAAACGATGTCGCTCTGCGAGTGTCGTGGTCAAGTTGTTAAACTGTATAAATATGAATACGCCTGGTTTTCGAACTGTTCAGTGCTGTAGCTGCTTAATTTGGCCAATTGTGCTGCTTTATTTCAATACTAGTTTTTTTGATGTGGCACTTGGTGCAAGAAGTTTGAGAGCCACTGTATTCAATACTTGTAATTCTTTATATTTAGAGTTCCTCACTGACTACACAGCATAAGAACCGGTCCATGTAGAGCAGACCCGGTACTGTAGAAGCGGAGCATCAGGGGTGTGTTTCTCAAACAGATGTAACTCACAGCTGAACTACCATAGTACAGTGCATCGGTTAGGAAAAGAGCGATGTAGAGACGGGCGTTTCCCAAAACTAAATTAACTAAACTAAACTAAACTCGCTTGCATCACATCAGTTACAGCGTAAAACAGCCGTAATGATGCTCTGAACACGGCGGAGGAACTCCTGTAGAGGAAAACCCATAATCATCTGTGCTAATCAGTGTTTTACACACACACACATCCAATGTTATACTTGGTAAAAACATGCACTCGTTTTCCATATTAATGGAAATAAATATATAAAGGACACATATTATAGTATTATTGAGGATATTCCAGATAACTTCACTGAGCTAACACATATTCCACTCTCATATCTGAATCGCTAATGTTGTAGGCCTAATTTACAGTAGACTGTTTACCAAGAAATGAAGAAAAAAATCAAACTTCATCATCATCATCATCATCATTATTAAGATGTTTGTTTATTTTATTTAAATGAATGTTTTGGTGACGTCTGCTTTTACAATCGGACTTGTTAAACCCACTGCAGCAGTGTTCTGGCCTCAGGCTCATGTCACATCTCTCGATCAATAACCTGCTGTAAAGTAAAGCCGGTATCGTACGCTGTGTATCTATTTGTTTTCTCAAGCTTGGTAGGCGTTACAGAGCTCTTAAATAATAATCATCACCTACAGCTGTCCTCATGAGCCACGGCTCTGTTCAAAATAGCATCAAAAGTGCACTGCGAAGGGAGCGCAGCTGTAAACATGAAGATCACTAGAACTGAACTGTAGAGATATTTCAAAAGCAGAAGACAGCTGAGAGATGCGCTCACTGTGTGTGTTTATAGGGATAGGGTATAGGGGGGATAACTGCGAATAGCACACAGCCAGGATCTCAGCTTCCAGCGACAGCTCCAGAGGTGTAGTTGCAAGCGCTCGAGTTCGAGATGCAGTTTGCGAATGTTTGTTGGGACAGCGGTGTTCAGGAAACGGCAAATCAACAAACGATATTTGTACCGATGCCACTTTAGTTGGCTGACGGGGGTTTCCTGAAACACCCCTGGATGGCTTCATTACCGGCAGACCCGATTCTGACATTGTAGTTGATGTGAAAGGCACAATTCTACAGGGAGAAATAACATGCAGGACGAGATATATTTAAATTAAATAACACAAATGAGCTCTATATGTAATGAAGTATGTAAGGCTTGAGGCTTGCGCTGCTCTTCTGAATGAATAATGGAGGACAGAAAGCAGCTGAAGGATGGTGTGATGCCGTTACAGTCATCATCACTGATCTTAATGTTGTTTATCAAGTTACATGTTTAAATGTACAGAAGCAGCCCCTAAAACCAGCTGAACAGGTGAGCAAGGTGTAGGACAGGTACATTAGCATGCAGACGGTTTATTTAAGTGCACCAATGTCTGGGCTGGTCCATCAGCAGTGTGTTGTCCTGAACGCGGTGCTCAGAGAAGAGTGTGCGCGCGGCAGCCCGCAGGAACCCTCCGCTCGGCAAAAGCGAGCCGGTGGACGAGAGCTTCGAGGACCTGCTGCTGAAGTACAAGCAGATCCAGCTGGAGCTGGAGTGCATCCGCAAGGAGGAGCGCGCCGCCCTGGAG